AGAAAAAGAAAAAAAAAGGCTGCCTGTATTTCACACCTTATTTGCAGTGGAAATCGTAATATTGGGATCAATCTGGAAATAAAGCACCGAATTTTTTTGGGATGAAAAATTTCCTTTTGCCTGGTTTTGTGTTATATGATAGTGGGACTTATATTCCATTGTTCATTTTGCATATATGTGTCTTTAATAGAGTGGCCATTGACCAGTTGTTTGAGACTAACATGTTTCTTTTTATTTAGTTCTATCCTATAGAAGAAAATAAATTGGTTCTCATGTCAGCCATATAGCTGAACATTCTTTGATTTATATTTTTGTGTTGACAGAAAATCTTAGTTAAATAGATCTAAGAATCCTAACCTTTCCTGTTTTATACTTTGGGTGTGGGTTCTCGCAGTCGTCCAGGAGGAAGCAAAGGGAACCAAAGGAAGAAAATGTGACCCTTGGACCTGCTTTACGGGACGGAGAGCATGCATTTGGTGTGGCTCACATTTTTGCATCATTTAATGATACTTTCATTGTAAGTATCAGTATTCTTATCTGTGTTTAAAACTACAGATCCATCCTCTATTGTCTTTGAGTTGGACTGAATAATTTCTCTCTTTAATGGCTGCAGCATGTGACTGATTTGTCTGGAAGAGAAACCCTCGTTCGCATTACTGGTATGTTTGATATTATCTCTGATTGCTGTAGTTAAATAAGATTCCATAGTTTCTAATCGTACTATTCTTTCTTTAGTATATCTGCTTGGCCTGTTCATTTGAGTATCAAACGTGGTGTGTTTGTAGAACCAGTAACATCCAATTCAAAATGCATATGGTTGTGACTGGGCCTTGTCTAATGGGGCATACTCAGCACCAGTTATACTGGTGAGACACTCTAAAGACACTTTGGTTTCCATAGTCTTGTCTGCCGAAATTAGTCATGAGAAATTCTGAAGCATAAGATTGGCTTGCAGTGTACTCTGTCTAAAAGTGGTTCTAGTTGGTATTTTATCCTAGTCCAAATGGTCTTGGACCATAGAGTATACTAGGAATGCAATTCACTCTGCTGGTTCCAGTTTGATGTGTATATTTGACATGGCTGTTTTTGTCATTTTCTTTTAAGTTTTAATTTATATAAATCTTCTCACTGTGTCTGGGGATCTACATTTTTCCTTTGATTAATTGGCGTTGGATGTGGACCTCAGTAGCTGTATCTGAAGTCCAGATTCTAATAAAAAAGCTAAAATGTAGGTGGTATGAAGGTAAAGGCTGATAGAGACGAGTCTTCACCGTATGCGGCCATGCTTGCAGCACAGGATGTGTCTCAGAGATGCAAGGTCTTCCTCATATCCCAGTAAATACGTTCATGATTAAAAACTGAAAACTATTGCCTGGCTAATTAGGTTGTGGTTGATTTGCAACCAAATGATGTATATCTCAATGTTTGTTCTATATGATGAATTTTACTTTCAATGCTGAACAGGAACTAGGAATTACTGCTCTTCATATTAAGCTCCGTGCCACTGGCGGCAACAAAACCAAGACACCTGGTCCTGGTGCTCAGTCTGCACTACGGGCTCTTGCTCGTTCAGGAATGAGAATTGGCCGCATTGGTAAGCCATTTTCTTTTTGAAAAAAAAAAAGGTTTCAGATCACTATGCATGAAACAATATCAAAGGAATGCAATTTCTGAAATTGTCATCATTCCTATCCTCGTCACACTTCTGCACTGGGTGACTAGGTGGAAATTTTTGTAGTCAAATACAGTAATTTATCAATAGAATCTACAATGAGATC